TGCGGAGTGCAGTAGGGGCTGCCCGAAGCCCAAGCGCTACCGGCTTCACGGTTTGCCGGGCAGCCTCCAGACCCTGCGCCCCCGGCTGGGCGCTTCCCCTCCCGGGCTCCAGCTGCGCTGGGGAAGCGCCGGCTGGGGGCGCCGACAAACCGTGAAGCCGGTAGCGCTCGGGCAGCCCTTTTCGCGTGGCTGGGAGTGGGAGGGAGTAGGGGGCGGAGTTAGGGCGGGGTTGGGGCAGGGAAGGGGCGGAGCTGGGGCGGGCTGGGGTGGAAAATGGGCGGGGCCAGGGCCCCGTGGAGGGTCCTCTTTTTTAATTTGTTAAATATGATAACCCTAGGTGTGATTGATCACCCGTCAATTGTAGACCTGACTTTCAGCCTGGGACCAGGCTTTGATCTTCCTTCTAGTGTACCTTTGTTCTTTTCTTTTAGGGTGGACTCTTCTCACTTTGTCAGGGCTGTTGTCTGCATCTTCAGCCCTTGGTGTTTGCACTTCACTTTATCAGGCTGGGGCTGGAGGTTGATTCCATCATCCATGCAGCCCTCATTCACACATCTGAACTAAACTAACAAGAAGACAGCAGGGTTTGCAAAAATGAAGGTTGCAGCCAGCTTACAAAATGGAGTGAGCGTTTTAAAACGGAGTTTGAGTTACAATATGGCAAACAGTGAACAGAAGTTACACCTTAGAGACTAACACATTTATTTGAGCATAAGCGTCTTTCTGTGTGTTCCAGTCTATGCATCCGAAGAAGTGGGCTGTAGCCCACGAAGCTTATGCTACAATAAATTTGTTAGTCTCTAAGGTGCCACAAGGCCGCCTGTTCTTTCTGCGGCCACAGACTAACACGGCTGCTGCTCTGAAACCTGAATTTTGAAACAGTTCAAGTTTCAGTGATTTAAGCAGAAATTGGATTGAAAGTGAAACTTACAAGGGCAGCTGGCTGAACTGTGGCTCTTAACAAGCATTTTAATTGTTAATTAGCCAGTTTTGGGGTAACCGGTTTTATGAATCAATGTTGTTTCATTCATAAAACTTTACCTATGAAGTTACATTAATAAAGTGAACAATTAAAAACAATTTCATTCATCAGTTCTACACTCAGTCCCGAACCGCAGCCCCCTGCCAGTTTACCCTGCCCACTTTGGGTGGGGTGGGGGGGCCTTACACAAACCCTAGGTCTCATTGACTGTCCCAGGGTCCCCCCCCCCGAGCTCGGCTGAGGGTCTGGGGGGGTCTCTTGGGTCTGGTGCTAACGACTCTCTTGCCTATGCCTTCCCCAGGCCCAGCCCGGGAGCCCCCCTGACCCCAGTCCCACATATCAGGTAAGTGCCGGTATCCTCCCCCTGAGGGGGGTTCGGATCCAGTGAGGGAAGGGGGGAGATGCTCCCCCACAAGCCCTATGGCTGGGAATGGGGCTGGTTATCACATCCCCTGGGGGGGGCAGCGTGAGCCAGAGGGGGACCAGCCGGGAGCCCCAGGGCTGAGGGGAAGGGCTGGGGGGGACCAGCCAGTGGGGGAGGGATGGGCCCCCAGGATGGGAGGGGCTGTTAGGCCCCTGGGGTAGGAGGGGCTGTTGTGGCCCCATGGGGGACGTGGAGGGCTGAGCCCTGCAGGGTGGGCTCCCCGTTTCTCCCCTGGGGCGTCTCTGGCTGAATCATCCCCATTTCCCCCAGATGCTGCAGCCCCGACAGCCGGACGTGTACGAGGAGCTGAAGAAGTGACGCCCCCTCCTGCCCCCGGGGCATGCTGGGAGGGGCCCGGGGCATGCTGGGAAAGGCGAGTCCCTGAGCCTGGGTCCCCCCGCCCCGGGGACGTCCCGTCGATGAAGCGTTAGAGGGCAGGAACAGTCACCACCTGGCCTGGGGGGTCCGTCCGTCTGTCTGTCCATGCTGCTTCCCTGGGGCCCATCACCGCAGCGTCTGGGCCCCTGCGAGGAGATCAGAAAGTCGGCGCCTGTGACTGGCTCCGGCTCCATTGTGCCCAGCCCAGGATTTGGTTTGGTGACGTCTCACAACCAAACACCCCCAGCCTGGGCACGTGCCCTGTTCTCTGCCCGCCTGACCTGAGCCTGGCGCTCTGTGTCCCACACCAGGCCGCGGGAGCTCCCCACTGCACGGAGGGGCCCGGGCGGCTGAGTGACTGGCCGGGTCCCACGGGTTGACTGTGCGTTTTGTGAATTAATTTCATTTGCTGACCCCTAGTTCTTGTGTTATGAGGAGTAAATAACAGGAGCCCCCAGCGGCTCCTTCTCCCAGCTCTGGGCTCTGGCTGGTCCATACGCTCAGCTCTGGGCTCTGGTCCATACACTCAGCTCTGGGCTCTGGTCCATACACTCAGCCTGGTTTGCTCTGTAAGGCCTGGCCATGCCGGGGCTGAGCGGGGCGCTGGCTGGGGGGGGTCACTGCTCAGCTGGGAGTTCGGGGTCTTGGGGGGGAGCTGGGAACTCGGCCAGTGGCAGCACCAGGGGCTGGGCGCGCCAGGGGGATACTGGGTGATTGGGGGGGGCGATCGCTGTCCTGTCGAGGGCTGAGCGGGGGGTTGTGCTGCCTGCGGAGGGGGGTCGGGGGTCTGACCCCCAGCAGGGCCAGAAGAGGCTCCTCACAGTGGGGCAGGGGGTCGTGAGGGGCCTGTGAGCCCGGCACCCCGGGAACCGTCACACGCGCGCAGCCCAGGGGTGCAGAGGGGAGCAGAGCGGGAGCAAAGGCCCCACCCGCGAAGCAGCCAGACCGCGGGAGCCCCCGGCGCGATCCGGCCCCAGCCGGGCTGGGCACTCGCTGCTGCCCCCTGCTGGCGAAGCACC